ATTTTTCCCTCATGACAGAATGTGCAGCATGTTGTCATATATTTATTTGTCATCAGTATAATGCTCTCTTTAGTGAGGTGGCTTTCATTCTTCAACTGGGTTGTTCATTTTCTTTTTCTTGAGGTTTAAAGTTTTTATATATTTTGGGTATTGGTTCCTTACTACATAGGACTTCTACAGGCATTTTCTCTCAGGCTTTTATGGGGCATTTTAAAATGGTCAAGTACTGAAAGAAATGATGTTTTGATAGAATAATAGTCCACTCATGACTAAATACATTTCAATTTACTATATTTAAATAAAACATGCTTTCAGGTAATTTGTACTTCATGGTACTAACACATATTTCTGCACTGAATTCATTCCTAGTAAGTTTCTAAATTAGCACACATGTGTTTTAATGGATGAAAACTACAAGACAACAAAAACCCAAAGCTCCTCCTGAGAGCACAAGGCAAAAGGCATTGTCCTGGCTTGAGAACTGGAGTTTAAATTGGAGAATTATGTTGCATGTGTAAGGTGTATGTGTGTATGTGTGTGTAAGGTGCGTGTGTATGTGTGTGTTTGCAAAGAGACAAAAATTGAATGAATTTTCATTCCACAGGAGTAGATCAATCAGACACAGAAAGAATGTACATTAAAAAACAGAGAGCTAGGGACAGCTCTGGAGTTTTCCAGTGTGTTTGTGGGTCTGTTCAAGGAGGAAGAGCCAGCAAAGGCCAGGAAGAAGAAATGCTAGTGAATGTGAAATTAAAGAACACTTGTCTCTATAACCAAGTGCTTCAAGAAGATGGTAGCTCACTGTGCCCATTACTACTGAGGAAGGGAGGAATCAAAGTGAAAATGGAGACTTAGACTTAGCAAGATGTTGCTGTTTGGCAACCTCTATGAGATCTGTTGGAGAAAAGAAATCCTGATTTGAATGAATTGTGAAGTAAACAGTAGGTAAGGTAAGTGGAGACAATGACTGTGGGTTTTTTTGAGGACTCTCTATTGCAAAGATAAATGAGGTAGAGGCTGGAGGAAGGGGTGAGTCTAAACAGGTATTATTTGTAGATGGACAATACTGACATGAGGCTGTATGTCAAAGAGAATGAGTGTCATTTCATTCTTCACTTGATAGTAGTGTCCACTTTAAACTTCTTAAAATATTTTCATCCTTAATTTCTATGATGCAGCTCTTAGCTTACTTACCTCTGCTGGCTCCTTTTCCTCTGTCTCTGCTAACAGCCTCTTGTACTGGAGAAGGCTACCATATATAATTGTGCAGATGGTTTATACCAACTATTATGTGAGTGTCACTCCCAGAGACCATACCCACCCACCATATGCTGACCTTGATTACCAGCCTCAGAACAACATTTTAATTTGAAGTTCATAGAAGCAACTTTATATGTTGGAGTTGAGGCTTAAAAGTAAGTTGTAGATGTATGGTTAACCAAAACATAAAATCCCAACAGCAGTAGTTTTATGGTTTATGTCTAGATGTCCCCCTACAGCCTTATGTACTCATAGGTGGGGCTGTTGGGCGGTGACTTGATCATGAGTGTACGATACTCATCACTGGATTAGTGCACTGATGAGTTTGCAGATAAATGTGATGTTGGGAGGTGGAACCTGGTGGGAAGAGGTGAGTCATGGTGGGCGTGGCCTGGAAGTGTATATGTATCTCTTCTCCTCCCTTGGTCTCGCTCTGCCTCCTGCCTGCCGTACCATGGGCCCTTTGTCCTGTGCTATGCCCTCTGCCCTGTTGCCCTGCCTTGGAGCCACCCAACTATGGACTGAAACCTCTACAAACTGTGAGCCAAAATAATCTTGTAAATTGTGGGTGTTGGGTATTGTGGCCTAATGGTGGGAAAACAACTAAGACAAGCAGTACACGTGCAAAAGGAAAACCAGTCTTGAGATTCAGTCAAAAATGTTCAGCTTCTGAAAAATTTCTACCTCCAAATAAAACAGTGAAAGAAAAAGAAAAGCATTTCTTTCCTCATTTAGCATCTGTTGTCAGATCAGGAAACTGAAGTATAATAATAAATTTCACGTTAAGAGAGAGTCACCAAGTTGAAAACACTGCAGATCACTAACCCAACCTACCTGTTGAAAACATATGAAGCAATAGTTAAAAGCTACATGTAGCCATGTATGATAGCAAATATTTATAATGCCAGCATTATAGGACTCTGAGGCAGGAGGATCACAAGTTTGAACCCAACCTGGCCAACTTAGTGGTAACACACCCTAGTGGTAATCCCCTATGGTCAATCCTAGTGTAAACAAGAAAATTAAAAAAGCTTCATGTGTTGGATTTTAAAGGAAGATTCTCTAACTGAATTAACTACAACTTGACTAAATACAAAATTCAAAATAGAATTCTCTTTATTTTATAAAAATAAAATCTACTGTGCTGGAGATTGAACTCAGGGTCTTACATATGCTTGATAAATGCACTACTCCTAATCTGCATCCCCAGCCCACTTTTTTTTAATCCCCCTAAACTGGAAGCAACTCCAAATGACTACTAACAAGAGAATGTGTAGTGTACGAAATGTCTTTCTGTGGGATGTAACTTAGCAGTAGTAATAAGCTATCAATACACATTGCCAATGGATCAATCTCAAAATAACTATGAGTAAAGAAACCAGACACCCCCCTCCCGGAAAAATATACACTATATGATTATATTTATTTAAAATTCTTAAAAATGTAAACCATAGTGACACAAAACAGATCTGTGGTTGCCTGTGCAGAGAGGAGAAGGGCTGAAGGAAGGGATTACCAAGAGTCGTAAGAAAACTTTTAGAGGAGAGAGATGTTCATGATCTTGTTTGTGATCATGATCTCACTGGTATAAACATATGTTAAAACTTAGCAAATTGTACACTAAGTATACGTACTTTTATGCCAATTATAACTCAGTAAACTGACAGAAAGGTAAAAGAAAATGAAAGCTTGGTTTGTGTACATCTGAAATTGATTTATGTAACCTTTGATCTCACATTAGAAAGTGAAAGCAATGCAAGGAGAAGCATTTTGCAGGACAGCAGTGAAAATGTCCTTGGACTCTTACAAGATTCACAAAACTAAATGCCATTTTAAAAATGCAAACGAATACTTTTACATTTGGGTTGCAGTTATAAGTCTATCTATAAAGGAGAAATATATATTTGTACTATGTATAAATACTTTGCACATTCTCGCTACCAGAACCAACAAAACAGTAGTTAAGTTACTTCACCTCTGTGCATTTTGAACTATCTTGGGTTCAGAAGTTCATTATCTCCACATATGTAGCAAAAATTCATTCAGAATTCTTTGATAACATTTATAAACAGCATCCTTGTGCTACCCTGGCTGTGTCAACTGATTTATCTCTCATTAAAGTTCATGCTGCATTCCTGCAGAGAGTAAACACCATCTTACAACCATTATCTTTGTCTCTCAAACATATATTTGTGTAACATATGTTTACTAAGGGATGGGTAAAGCAAGGACGAAGGTAAGAGAATAAGCAGCAGCAACATCTGACTACACCTAACTATTCTATCTCACACTCCTAACATGCTGATGTACCCTATGGAGACATCATAAATTCTTCCCGACTGACTCTGAGGAACGTAATGATCTCACACGTTTTGCTTAACCAAAATGACAAGAAGACCAACTTGTTATAGTACTTAGAGATTACTGGAGCAAACATACTTCATAAATTAAGACCTGGAAGGCACCCAGGGAGTGGCTGAGGTCTGCATTTATTGCTGAACTTTGGCATTATACACTCCACTGACTAGTGGTGTTCTGGGGCTAGTTAACTGGGTGGGGATGAGCATGTCTCAGTAGAATAATTTAGTATTATTAGCATGATGTTTGGTACTGATACCATAGCAAACAGGATCCCTGTTTCTTTACAGAGAAATTATGAATTCAAAAAGAAGTGTTAAAAGATGTTATTCTAAGAAATGAGTTAAAAACTAAAATATAAAAGTGACTCTAGTTAAATTTGTCAAGTCTTGACAAATGTGAGGGGTAAACTTGACAGTAACAGTTACATAGTAAAATAAGTTTTTCTTCTTGTTGTTTTGTTTCTATTGGATCGTTGGGCAGGCCCATGAGTTAGGGAAGAAATGATAGTGTATATGATACAATACTGGTTGTTTCTCTCCAGGCCATGAATTTCACCAGTTACTTTGGTGTATACATGAGAAATTAAAAGTTTAAAAGTTCTATATTTGGTTAAATTCTATTGTTAAAGATATAATTGTGTCTCCTTACCGAGTACTAACCAGGCCCAACCCTGCTTAGCTTCTGAAATCAGACGAGATCGGGTGTGTTCAGGGGGGTATGGCTGTAGGCTAAAGATATAATTGTGAAAAGAAATAAAATAGGATCATAATTTTTTATTTCTGTCTTCATTTCCTAAGGCATAGAGCAAAAAGGCCTAGGTATCTACTGCACATCTAAATCTAAAAAGTTAATTTTTAATTTTCTTAAACTGTAAGAGACATCACATTGGGCAGATTGGTTGCAGGGAATGACATATTAGTTTATACCAAAGGCTAATAATTGTCAAGTCCCTTTTAAATTATTCAAATTCCTTCAGCTATTTGGAAACCTTTAAACATATGGGATACATACTTTTTTAAATCCCCAATTAAAAATGAAAATTAGATGGTAATGTTCTGGCTTTAAGGATGATTCTCTTTCTGTTTTACATAACATTTATTCCCTTGACCTTCCAGAATGCTTAAGGAAGCAGAAAAAAATTACTTCTCATTCTTGATCGTCCCTAAATACAAATTACCATAAATCCTGTACCACATAGGTCATGGAGCAAAAGCTAGGCTGATTCTATTTTTTACAAAGTTGTCTGATTCTGTATTTGTGTATTTTCCAGGTAAATCTTAAATGGAAATGACCATAAAATACTTGTTTGCCTCGTCATTATTGGGCATAGTCTACTTATTTCGTAAAACCAAACTGTTTACATTTTTTGTCTGTTTCAGGACTGATGCCTGTTGCACAACAGCCTGTTTATTGTGCTTCAAAGCACGGCATCGTTGGATTCACACGCTCAGCCGCGGTGAGCGCATGCTAACCGCGAAAAGCTCTTGTTCCCTTGTGTGCGTATGTGAAACCCAAACTGCATAGAGAAGAATGAGTTCAGCCTTAGATATATCTAGATTAAAGATAAAAGCGGTAGTTTACTTCCATCTTTATAAAAAATCATGTTCTGATCACATCAAAGAATAAAGGGCACATCATTATGAAATGAAATAGATTCTAAACATAGATGTGTCATTAATAATATCTACGGATAAGTAATGGGAACATTAACTCCAAATGTAAATATTAACATGAGGCCTCCATAAGTAGAACGTGGGATAGGCTGTCCTTGAAAATGAGTGTGGGCCTGGGGCTGGAGGCAGGAATAAGAGCAGAGGACCGCATTTGCAAGGAGACTAGGGGTGAAAGGTACACAGGGCTTAGAAAAACACTCCGACCTCATTTGATGCTAATATTAGATAAGAGTGCTTGACCGTTTATCTGACAAAATGGCAACTTAATGGAGCTACCGAGGAAGCGCTAAGTTGGGTGAGATCTAACTGCAGACTTAAATAAGGCAGACCAAAAAGGAATTATGGGCCAAGGTTTTGAGCTTGTATTTTATTCTAAGTGCAGCTGTTGGTGGATCTTGTGTGCACAAGAGTGACAATAACAGATTTCCGTGTTAAGAAAACCAATCTAGATAGGCCTGGCATTGCGCCTGTGCGATCCCGGCGCTCTGGGAGTTGAAGCCGGCAGATGGCAAGTTTGAGCTCACCGTAAACAACTGAGTGAGACTCCGTCTCAAAATATAAAATTTTAAAAAGCTGGGGCTACCGCTCAGTGCAAAGGCCCTAGGTTTATCTCTCAGTACCTCAGAAAAGAAAAAAGGGAAGAAAAGAAAAAAGGTACCATTCTACCTGCTTTGAAAATGTATTACAAAGGACAAAAGGGGCAGAAGAAAGAGCGGTTGAGGGGTTTTTGAGTGGTTCATCTAAGTGAGACAATAGAGGAGGCAAAGGGATGGAAAGAAAAACTTCACTACGGAGGAAATGCTAGCGGGGTGAATCAGGCAACTGTGTGAATGTTAACTGTTCAGTCAAAAAGGAAGAGAGGTAGTTCTCGTGCTCTTAAATTATTTACAATTTATTATTAATTTGCCAAGACAATCTTTTTTATTAGTACATGCTTGCAGTGTGTAATAGTTACATTTATTGTGGGGAGTTTGTACATGCACATGACACATTTTATTTATTTTTTGTCCTCTGCCTCCTCCAACTCTTCTTCCCCTTCCATTTGAAAAAGATCTCTTCATTTATACTTTGGATTTATCATGTCAGAGAAAGCATGCTATATATAGGGCATCTTTTTTATTTTATTTTTTTTGTACTGGGAATTGAATTCAGGACCTCCTGCTTGCCAGGCAGGCATTGTACCGCTGCACTATATCCCTGGCCCTCATGCTATATTTAAACTTGTGGCTCTGATTTATGTCTCTGAACAATATGGTCTTGAGGAATAGTTATTTACCTACAAACATCTCAAGTTTGTCCTTCTTTATGGCAGAGTAGTACTCCATTGTATGTGAATACCATATTTCCTTTATCCATTCATCTGTTGATGGGCATATAGGCTAATTCTAAGAGTTAGCTATTATAAATTGTGGTGCTATAAACATGTGAATGCATGTAAGTACTGTAATATTGCCAAAATAACCTTTAACTCAATTTGTTATGAATATATAAAGCTATTACAAAGTAAAACAAATCTTAAAGGTCAGAACTTTTGCATTTAAAATGATAAGACTGGCAATGTCTGTACTCAGTTCTCAGTATTGCAAGTAGATATGTTCTATCAATTTGCTTGCAAACACTGCATTAGTGACTGCTGAACTGTTCCTTCTAGGTGCAAAACAGGGTAAAGCTCCCAAAAATCTGTAGCCACAAAACTTTGATCAACCACTCAGTACATAATCTTGATATATATATATATAGAGAGAGATAGATATATAGATAGGTATAATATGCTAAGATATATATTATATACTGAATATTGAATTCATGAATAGTAAGTTGAGTTAAGCTTATCTAACACACAAATATTCGCTTACGCACATCCCAGCTATATGGAAACGCTACACAGCGCTTCTGTACTGTAACTGGGGGCCATTTTACACAGCAACACCACCAAAATGCACAAAAATGAGAAAAAAAAAATGGCAAGGCAGACCAGACCCCTCAGAAGGAACACACCTACCTGTGATTCAGAACTGCTCTGCACGTAACCACAAATGACTGTGAAGTCACCACAAACATATATTGCTGGAATTACAAATAAATTTTAGAAAGTAATCCAATGTGAAATTATAGACTCTACAATGTGTATAATAAGTATTGACAATATTTTGTTTTAAAAACAGTTCAAATGAAATCAATAGGCTGGAAATTAATGTAATTAATAATAGTCTGAAAATACTTAAATTTTCTTCCAGATAGTGTGGATTTTTAAGAATACATAGAATCAACTAAGGTCCTAGAAATTTCTACTAATGCATTTTCACAAAAATATTCTCTTATACAGCTATAATCTTGAAGGAAAACTTGGGATAGGAGTTCTAAACCTCTGCTACTTAACCCCAGGTTCCTGTAGAGTTCAGTGGGTAAACACAGCTTAGGTAATTAAGTATTTTCAGTAGTTGTCCAGTAATACTGCTTTTTAAGAAATTCTTTAAGTGAGACTTGCAGGAATTAATTCAGTACCTTAGGTATGTATTCTTTGCTATCTCTCTGCTTGCCAGTATTGTTACATAGTTAAGAGGATATCTGAGTAGTATTTTTATATTAATCTTCTGAATAACTTCAATTTCAGTTTTTCTGTGTGATACATCTACAAAATTTCTGAAACCTGCACCCTTCTTCTTTTAATTGGTAGATGGCTGCTAAACTAATGAACAGTGGTGTGAGAATGAATGCCATTTGTCCAGGCTTTGTCAACACACCCATCCTTCAATCCATTGAAAAAGAAGAAAACATGGGACAATATATAGAATATACAGGTCATATCAAGGATATGATGAAATGCTACGGAATTTTAGAGTAAGTAAAACTGCACTATCTTCTTTTTCATTATGGAGTAAAGGAATATCTAGAGAAGCAACAAAAGAGAAAGAAAATAAGCTTTTAAATATGAGAGACTAATGCGAACCTCAAAATGTCCTACGGCAAATTCTCTGAAAGTTAAAAATTTTCTGGCTTAATGAATAGACTATGTTTATACATTATGAATTCTATTTGCAGTACAGACATCTTTGTGCAGAATCAGATTCTTTTTTCTAAGAAATGAGTTTTAATCACCTTGAGAAAATTATAATTTTTCTGCCTAAATTCAAAGCAATATTCATGTATAATTTTTAATATTTTGTGTGGTCCCATAACTTCTGCCATTTTCATAAAATGAATGGTCTACACACACACACAGACATGCATGTGCATACGTGCACACACAGACATTGTAGGTGAGTTGGATCTGAGAGTAGTTGAGAATTTCACAACACAGAATCATAACAACCATGTCAAATGAAACAGACCTAGGATCAAGTCGGGGCTCTAGCACTGGCTTTAAAAAAAAATAGACTTTTTAAAACTTATATTCAAAGGACTTTCTAAAAGATGCTACATGACGTATACCTCAAATAGCAACTGGTAAAAAATAAGACATTCAGTAAATGCTATCTGTAATTCATATTTCTTTTCTAATAGTAATTCTGATAATAATAAGATCTATTTGATAAAGATGAGAAAATAATTATTTTCTCAGTGAAAATAATACCTATAAATACTTCCTTTCAAAATGATAAAAGATCAATTGTGGAAATGTAGGACTGTATGTATCATATAATTTAGGTTCTGGTTGGATGAAAATTGAAGGTTAAAAATAGCTCAGTGACAAATATTTTCCTATTACATGTAGATTCTTCAGAAAATTATTAGAAGTGATAATATGCCTCATTATTTATTTTCAAAATTCCAATGTTTCTTTCATTTATAGTCCATCGGTGATTGCCAGTGGATTAATAACACTCATTGAAGATGATGATTTGAATGGTGCTATCATGAAGATCACAACTTCTAAAGGAATTCATTTTCAAGACTATGATACAGCTCCGTCTTATGCCAAAGATTAATGAACACCTAAGATACCAGCAATAACTGCATTAAAACAAATGCAAATGACATATTCAAATCATATTTTAAATATATCTTTTTAAATGAAATGTTACAGCCTAAAGCTTTCCTTCATATAGCTGTTATTAATTTTTTCTAAATGATTGAATAAACTATCAAAAGTACAATGCAAACAAAGCAATATTATTATAATATGTATGATATAATTAATGATTAAGACAAAAGACATTTAAGGAAAATTCACCTTTTGGAAAGTGTATTTAAATCTGTGGTTCATGAATATTAATGTCTTTCAGAAAATAATTTTAAAGGATATACTTGAATTATTATTTAAATCAAAACAGATGTAGAAAAAGAACTTTGTTTCTTTCTTTGCCCTTCAAAAGAGGGAAGCTACTGAACATTGGCAGGTGTTTAGAAATAATAATGTTTTATATCATCCTTAAGCTGGACTCCATAAAGAGGTGATATAATTTGGGATTAGTAGTTAAGGAGCGAATTACAGTGTGACTATATCCCAAGTGAAAAGTCTGAGGCATGGAAAATGACAGAAAGTAACTGACTGAGATTGTTGATTCCAAGTTCAGCCTCCAATCACAGAAGAACATTTTTTCTCTTTGTTTGTTTATTTTAAGAACTTTATCTCTAAAAGTCTCAGGAATGAAGCTTTTAACAGTTATAGAAAAAAGATTGTTTGTCCTAACATTTTATATGTAATATATGTTCATTAAGAAAAAATGCAAATGTAATAATTTTTCTCTGGTTGACAATATTTTTGGTTTTAGTGCATACTAGTTATGCAGAATATGCGCTTCATTTTGTCCTATTTGTACATGCGTGTTACATATTTGATTATTTCCACCCCCATTACTCCTGTCCCCCTTCTCTCCTCCCTCCCCCGTTTCCTCCTCTCTAATAATCTCCTTTCTACTTTTCTCTCATCTCTATTTTTGTTAGATATGAGAGAAAAATGTGCGATATTGACTTTTTGAGTCTGATTTATTTTGCTTAACTTTGTTTTTTAAAGATCTTTTTCTATGTTGATTTGTACTGATTTCAAAAGTACCTATATTTCAATAAAACTCCTTTACTCTAATCTCTATAAGTTACTTAGTCTTTTGTGTGTAGCTTCTGAGGAGATGAAACTGATTTTTCCACAGCCACGACTGAAGGTGCTTTCTTATATATACTGAGGTTCATAATAACACGGAAGTGTAATAGCTGTGATGTTTTGTTCTTTTCACTATTAGGTATCTTAAGATAAGATCCATTAAATGCACCTCTTTGGGGTAATATTCTTCACTAGATTTCCAAATCAATAATTTCCTTAAAGAAATATTGTGGGAAGCAACCCATTCTGCTTGTTAAAGCCAGACTCCTAGGTTAGAGTGAAATCTATCCATGTGAGATTGATAGGAATTTCCAAGAGATCTTAGAATATTACAGCTCCCTCTGTTTTAATTCTGCTATAGAGAACTGCTGCCTTCACTTTTAGGAAGTGATTTGACTATGAATAACTAGTTCAGAGTTTTAGGTAATGTATTTGACATACACTAAGTGTCCATAAACATCTTATGAATATAAATTATAATTGGGCACAATACTTTTGCACTTTCTAGCAGTGACCAATCAATGAATGATATAGGTAAATTCAGACCGCTGTGGCCAGCACAGGAGGGAGAATTAACACTACACTTTGGCCTTCCCTGGCAGCATTCTGTTGTTGCCTAGTAGTGTCGGAGCACTGCACAGAGTCATGCAGAAATCACTAAAAATTATGTGATTATGTTAGAAGTTTACAGTTCTGAAGGGCTGCATTATGAGCTGTCCAGGCTTGTAGGCGGCCGATGGACCATGGGTTAGGTACACCTCACAGTACACTGGGATTAAGCTATTTTATCCCATAAACTAGGCATACTGAATGCACTTTTAACCTGCAGTATTTCCAGCTGAGTATGAGTTTATCAGACATAACCTCATAGAAGGTGCAGGGGCACCTCTAGTTGCATAAGCGATTGCACTGCCTATCAGAACACCTCACACACCTCTTAATCACCCTTCATTCATTTCTCTTTGCAAATAAGACGTGATCATTCCTCCCTGGCCCTGATCTAACCTGTTTTCACTGCTCTCCTTTCTGATTTCATTAGTCTCATACCATCTCAAAACCTTGGGTATGCCCAACCTCTCCCCCATTGGGACTTTTCTGCTGACTCTTTCCTCTGCCTGGGTGGCTCTCTTTCCATGTACTGTCAGTATGAGCTTGGCTCTAACAACTTCCTCAGTTTGGCCCCTATTTTCACCACTTGAAATCAACCACTTAGCTATTCTAGATGGTCACACCAACATTATTTTGCTTTTACCTTTAGAGAATTGATTCTCTTAGGGTTCTCTTTCATTTTGTTTTCTTTAGTTTTCTCTTTCATTTTGACTGTAGTTTTTCTACTGAACTAGAACATAACAGAAGCTCTTCAAGCTTCATTTCTGCTCTCCAGCTAGTCCTAGCATATAAAACAGTATCTGGGACCTGGCGTATAGTAAATAAATATTTGTTGAATGAATGAATGAATGAATGAAGTTTCTGTTAGATAGCTAAATTATTCTACATTGTCTTATTTACAAGAAATGTAAATATTCAAAACCTCAGAAGTTGATATGTCCCTTCTTTGTATCAATCAGGGAATTTCTGAGAAGTTATATTTGAATCTCAGAACCACATCACAAGAGGCCCTTGGCAATCTAGAGCTTGGATTTTATCTTAAGTACAAAGGGAAAAACACAAAATTCCAAATGTTCAGAACTGACATAAGAAAGAATGGATGTAGGTGTCTGCTATGTACATAACCATGAACATATAGAAGTGAGAGGGATGCCACATAAGGGAAGTGAGAGGGATGCCACATAAGAATTAGGATGTCCCACGTTGAAATCCATTCATCCTAGATATAGAAAATTCATTGAGCATTGAGATGACTGAGGATGTCAGCCACCTACTAGGCTCTTGTTTACAGCATTTCTGTGTAATCAAACAGAGCTGTGACTTTGAAAGCTCTTTTGACATTGCTTCTTCACTGTTTAGTTTATATGAAGTACACACCACTCATGGTAATATTTTCCTTAATCCTAAGGTACTATTCTGGTTTTTTCATTAGTTTACTCTCCTCCTTTTTAGATATCTGTTGTCTCCAACCCATTTAATATCTGAAGGATGTTGGTAGGTATGTGTGCAGAACTGCGTGCAGCGTGCTGTTACTTCTTTTGGCTCATGGTTTGGCCACCTAGATGCTTACCTTCAGCCTCTAGCAAGGACTTCTTAAAATGAGTCACAACGGTCACCATAATGCTGGATAATCCAATGTTTATTTTATTCAGATTCTGTGGCAAAGGGTTTATGAAATTTTGGCAGATTAATGCTCCATTCTTTGTATCTATACAGGTATGGGTAGATTTTTTTTGTGACATCTTCAATTTCATTGACTGATATTGGTTTATTTAGAATTTTTATTCTTTAGAATCTTCTTGATTCAGCTTTGTTAATTCAGTGAAATAGGACTCTGTCCATTTCTTCTGAATTTGCATGTTATTAGAGTACAGATTCTCAAAGTAGGTGTATGTGATCTAGATTTCTGTGGCATCCCTTGTGATTACACCTTTTAATTCCTGATTGCATGAATTTGGGTCTTTTCATAACTTTTTTGATAAGGTTGGTTAAGGGTTTGTCAATTTTCTTCACTCTTTCAAGGAACCAACTCTTTGATTCATTGATTCTTTGTAATTTTACTTACATATGTTAACGTATTTTGATTTTTCTTGTTCCAGTCTGTTAACTGTAAATACTTCTGTTGGTATAAGTTACCTATCAGATGCCTCTCACCCCATCATTCCCCAAATCAAAATGTCTGTCTTTTATTCCCAGATACACAAAGCTTAGACCTCCCACCAGACATGCCAGGAGTGTCACAATCACACCATAATGTACCATCCTGGCCTTATCTGGACAACTTCTTATCAAATTACAAACTTCTCCAAAGCTCCTTGAATTTGTTTAACCCACCCCCCTTGTCTGTACGATTTCTCCATATTGAAGGGGATATAAGCGCTTGCAGGGAGGTGATTGAGATGGAATTCCTTCAAGAGAAAATTAAAATCAGAGGATGTGTGTGGCTGGGAGCTTGTGGAATTTCTAATGAAAAGATACTAGAATGAGAATTGGATAAATCTCAGCGAAATACATTTTTCCTATTAAGCCTAGTAAAAGGCATAAGGAATAGAATTCTGAATTTAATTTTCTGCATACAGATGTTTGCAATCACTGTTGATTCAGATTCAATTGAACAATGGATAAGTCTTTCATATTATAATCATAACATTTAAGACAGGGCCTATTCATGGATCCCAGTGCCACATGGACACACAGTAATGCTCATTACTGAACCATACGGTAATGAGGGTTCATCAGTCAGTTGTAATCCAAATCTGCCTCTTCTGTTCCAGCGCTTTGTCCTCTGACACTTCTTTTTTCTCGTGCTCTGCCGCATCATAAGTTCGGCCTCAAGGTTACTGGGCTGCTCCTGTACTGCAACATCATTTCATACGAAGTACAACAGGGCAGTTATTGATCTCTGCCTCCATTCACTGTATTTATCTTACTATCCGTTGCAATGAGTACATAATGTTGAACTCCAAACAAGCTCCATTCTTCTCATTGCTGTAAATGATTAAAACAAAAATTTTAAATGCAAACAAAATAACACTATTTGGGAAGAGATTTGTGTACACACATGCCAGAAAACACAACTTGATCAGTAGAAGCGATGGTTTCTGATGAAACTTCTTCCTTCCTTTTAAAGATTGTTCATATGTCAGGAGGTTTCTAAGGCAAGTGATGGTTTATCCTCTTCCATGTACACTGTTTTGGCTCCTGGGGTATTTTATAATACAGGGAAGAAGTTGAGTCACCCCCATAGGAAATGTCACTCATCAGCTTCCCCGAATGGATCTCTAGTGCTGTTTTCTCCCTCTACCCATAAACAAATGAAAAGGAGAAAAATTAACCCTTCTTTAAACTGTCTTTTGTTTAACTGATTTAACTTTTTGTTTAACTTCAATCATGTCAGCTTATCTGTAACAATTTTTATTCAACATTTTAACATGAGTATAAAAAACCAAAGAGTGAAATATTGTTCTGTTTTTCTTTATCTCACTGAAATAGAGGGAAAACTTAATTTTAGTACTGTGCTAATGTCTAAAACAATACTTTCTCAAATATAAGAGAAATTTATGAAAAAGTTATATAATTTCTTGGGGAAAATCTTGATGAGTGAATTTTTAAATTTAATTTGGAATATTGGGAACTCCAAGAATATCAATAGATCTAGGTTTCACTCTCTCTATATTTATTAAATAGACACTAAGCCCGAAGCTTCATGCCAGGCAGCAATGCACCGTGGATGAATAAGCCATGTGTCTGGCTTCAGGAAATCCCGGACTGTATTTGGGAGACAAACATGCAGGGAAAAAAAAAGCATATTCCATGTTATAAAGATTGCAGTTGATTTATGTATGAGGTAAAGGAGCAAATAATAATGTCAACTTTGCCTAAATGGATAAGAAAAGTAAAAGGCTTCATAAATATCTTACTTTTCTCTCATCCAGACAAAGCACCCACACTTACAGTTTAGAGATGAAAGGTTTATCAGGGTCATAGTCTGCAGAGGTTTCAGTCCATACTCAGCTGACTCCAGGTCAGGTTGGCTTTGCAGAGAACAGTTCGTGGCAGCAGAAGACAGAAAAATCAACAACTGCCCTTAACAGTGACTTTCTGTTGCTGTTATGCTCTATCTAAGCTGCTGGGGTTAGGGCAGTGCCAAACCAATCAGTGAATTAATCACACATCCTTAATCCCAGCATCATACACTCTAAATTTAGCCAGCTGTAAAAAAGCCCTATCACTGCAGAAAGCTTTGGGGAAATATGTAGACACAAACCATAACAATATAAAAGGGGCTACTGGTAATCCCAGTGCTCTAGGAGGCTGAGGCAGAAGGATTTCAAATTTGAGTCTGGCCTGGGCAACATAGCAATTTAGCAAGACCT